CTATTACAGCAATCAATAGTGGAATTCTGTGTCACAACTGTATCCACTAGTACTCTTATTACATTAATTTAATTTATATTGCGCTCAGCTGACAGTTATATAAATACACACTTCATCCCATTTCTTTATCCACTCGAGTTGATCTTTCGATCAATTATTAAACTATTTAATTGAAGATTATCACACACTTGCATCGTTGTCGAATTAGACAATGATATTTAATGAAAACACCTTAGAGATATAACTGACTCGCAAACATACATCAATCATATCCTCTCTAAATAGATAAAACGAACGATATAAAACACGACACTTTGGGTCTCTCGCTATTACAAGAAGACAGCTTATCTAGAACTGTAAATAAAATACCAAGTACACGAAAAGCAATATCTATATCTCTCTTGTAAATAACTGCAGGTATCTAAAAAGACACGCGTTGCCCCGTATCAATTCTTCGGACCAAGTTTCCGTTATTTTATTCATTAATGAAAACTTTATTTTGTCTTTCACAGATTATTTACCCAACCAATAAAATGGAACAAATTACTCCCGCTCCGACCGCAATCGCCTCAGTCGACTACCTTGGCCACAATTACGCCTGGGACGAAAATGACCTCATCTGCACTCACAAAGAGATTACAAGACAACTCGCCGATGTGCAGAAGAAGATTCGGGCTGAAACGATGAAGCAACCGGAGAAGAAAGATGTTAAAGAAAAGCCTTTATTCGGAAGCAAACTTCGAAAATGCAGAGGAGAAGAGTGGCAGTTGAGAGCAGAAGAGAAAAGATTGTTGAGACTACAAAATGCACTTTGGAGGCGAATTGGACATGCCGTTGGCGCTGTTGCCTCGGGAAACGAGCTAGTCGAGCCCAAGTCTTTGAATTGGTATGTATTAACCGTTAACGTGACTTGAGATATTCGGAAGATCAGTTATTATTATGGGGATGGGAAATGGCACCGGTGAGGAGGATCGTTGAACATTTTCCCGCTTTCCCGGCATTTCATCTGTCATTGGTCACGATAGCTAATTTGGGTTAATACAGTATACGGGTCTTTGAATTCCATCACTTTCCATCTCATACTTGAGCTACTTTAGGGGGGATAGATTTTAAGTTCGTGTGTCTGAGCACAGTAATGCACACAAAACATTCGTCTTTATTTTTGGCACAAGATTTGTCGTACCTGTCAAATCAGTGCACGTAGATTATATTTATTATGGAGTTAAAAAATATAATTTAGTTTTTAATGATGTATAAATACATCAATTGTTATTAACTTTATTCGATTTTTTGCCTGTATGATGACCTCTTTATTTACTTATTTGTTCATCTATTTACCCATTGATAAGATTAGACAAGGAGGGCGGGAATGAGGCGTTGGCCTATGTGCCTATGTGCCTATGTGTTACACTCATTCTTTGCCCAATAGAATTTATTGTATAACGCAAACGACGATTCGTCCAACAAACAAACAAACAGCAAACATACACTGATCAATGTACTCTTATCTTTTCCATATTAGGCAAAAAGAATGTGACGTACTCTGGCTATTTGGACCTGTCTACCAATCAGAGAACCCATTCGAAGACGACGACGACAAGACACTCGTGGGTGACAGCACACCCAGCACACCTATGAGCATGTCATAAATTAAATTAATGTAATAAGAGTACTAGTGGATACAGTTGTGACACAGAATTCCACTATTGATTGCTGTAATAG